TTCGAAATACAAGATGTACACTAAGGGACCATAATTGAATCAAGGAATGCGACATTCTTTGAAAATATTTTTCCTTGCAAAGATAAAAAAAAATACGAGTTCTAACAAGAGAACATATGAAACTACCAATGAAACTTCAAATGAGGAAGAACCAAGGCGTAGTAAAAGGGCTAGGACTTCCAAGACATTTGGCCCAAATTTTCTAACCTATATGGTAGAGGATGATCTAAAGACTTTTGATGAAGCAATGTCTACACCAGAAGCACCGCATTGGAAAGAAGTTATTAATAATGAGATAGATTCTATAATGCAAAACCATACATGGGAGTTGGTTGATTTACCTCCCGGTAACAAGTATTTAGAATGAAAATGGATATTCAAAAAGAAATTAAAAACTGATGGATCCATTGATAAATATAAGGCGAGATTGGTTGCTAAAGGATATAGGCAAAAGGAAAGACTTGATTTCTTTGATACCTACTCACCCGTGACTAGAATCACGTCGATAAGATTGTTAATTGCAATTGCGGCAATACATAATCTTAAGGTTCGTCAAATAGATGAAAAAACAGCATTCCTAAACGGTGAGTTAGAAGAGGAGATTTACATGGAGCAACCTGAAGGGTTCGTTTCTCCTAACCAAAAACACACAATGTGACAAATGTGTATATATTAAACATACACCGTATGCCTATGTAATTGTTTGTCTATATGTGGACGACATGTTAATAATGGGCAATAGTCACAAAATGTTGCTTAACACCAAAAAGATGCTAACAAAGCATTTCGATATGAAAGATATGGGTGTGGCAGATGTAATCCTAGAGATTAAAATCTCTAGAACGCAGGATGAAATTGTACTTTCACAATCTCACTACATAGAAAAAGTATTTAAGAAGTTTGACGTTTTTGAAAAAAGTCCTACAAGAACTCATCTTGATCTGAGTATGCACTTAGTCAAGAATACGGGAGAAAGCATATCACAACTAAGGTATTCACAAATAATTGGCAGTCTTATGTATATCCCAGCTGCACTCGACCGGATATTGCTTTTGCGGTGAATAAATTTAGTAGATTTACAAGTAATCCAAACCGTGATCATTGAAAGTCTTTGACGAGGGTTTTAAGGTACTTGAAGTATACCTTAACCTATGGATTACACTTCACAAAATATCCTGCGGTACTAGAAGGATATTGTTATGCGAATTGGATATCCGATATAAAGGATTCCAAGTCCACTAGTGGTTATGTATTCACCATTGGTGGAGCTGTTGTATCATGGAAATCAACAAAACAAATGTGTATAGCTCGATCAATGGTGGAATTTGAGTTTATTGCTTTGGACAAAGCTGGAGAAGAAGCAGAATGGCTTTGAAATTTCTTAGAAGATGTTCCATGTTGGCCCAAGTCAGTACCTGCGATAAGTATACATTGTGATAGTCAATCAGCAATTGGAAGGGCTCAAAGCAGCATGTATAATGGTAAGTCTAGACATATTAGTCGTAGACACAACACCATTAAGCAATTGATCTCAAATGGCGTTATCTCCATAGATTATGTGAAATCAAAGGAGAATATTGCGAATCTACTGACGAAAAGTTTGCCTAGAGATCAAATGCATTGCCTATCGAGAGGAATGGGATTAAAGCCTACTACGTAAGAGTTTTTGCAATGGTAACCCTACCTTGTTGACTGGAGATCCCAAGATCTTGATTCAAAAGAACAACTAAGTTGTAAAAATTTCATGAAGCACTTTGGAAATTAGAATTCCTAACCCATTCCTATGATACTAAAGTGCTTTCTGCAGAGTAAATAAAGGCTAAGATTATCTTTTAATGATTCCTATATCTTGATTAAGTCAAGTGGAGTAGGGCAGAATATTCTTAATAGGAGGTCACCTATGTAAGTGTGAGGTGGGGCCGCTTCGATAAGAATTGTTTAAGGTTTGAATTCTTTAAATACTTATGAAACCAAGAAGGGTTCAGGGCCAAAATGAACCAAGTCATGAGAACTAAGTACAGAATAGGGAAGATATCTGTGTGAGTATTGTTGTCTTGACTTACACCAAAGGCTAAGTGGTTCAAGACCTATGATTCACCAATTAGCGGAGTAAGTCCGATAGTATTTCACTAAGGGAGGTTCAAGGCCAGAAGCCACCATCCTTGATACAGTATTTTTTCGCACCCTCTCTACATTGCATCATATCATCACATTTGTATATACGTACCCGAATTTCCATTCATATGGGGGATTGTAGGAATTGGTTCAAATATTAAATGAAAAGGTGTGTAAAAATTGGAAAATGAAAAGGTGTGTAAAAAATGAAAAATGAAAATGTGTGACTACGTGTCAACTTCGACCAAATATTCGGACTTGATCCGATGGTCAAATTATAAAAGTAAATAGGTCAACTTACTCTACTCGTCGAGTAGATCATCGTGGTATATTTGAAATCTTGAAACCAATTTCGGATGAATGAGAATTTGAGGACCAAAGTTGGAAGAAATGAAATGTTGCAACTTTTCGAAAGGTACAGATTTTGGCCAAATGTTGCAACTTTTTTGAAAAGATACATGTTTTGACCCACACTATTTCATTTGCACCCTTTCTTCATCTATAAATAGAACCCTATGAACATAATTTTGGGTACACCAATTGCATTGAGCATTCATTCTCCTCTTGCAATTCTCTTCTTTCTAATTCTATAGCATTTCATACATTTCCTTTATAGAGGAGAAATTCTGTCAAAAGTTCGTCGATTTCTTGTGGTTTGAAGTGCTACTACCACAAGTTGTGAATTTATTGTATCTTGGGAGACAAGTGTGATTCACCGTGAGCACCGTAACGAGGCAATTTGTCTTAAAGAAAGAGATAACGTCTCGCCTTGGATTATTCTCTATTTCTACTCCTTCTTAATCCTTTTTTGCGTAATCTTTATACCGAAACTCCGTCCAAATTTTCATTCATATGAATTGTGTTTTGATCACGCTCTTGCGGGGTTAAAACTGGTCAAACAAATATATCAAAAACCAACCCTTACATAACCCTTTTATAAGTCGTCTCCAATAGATCTTACCAAGTGTGAGCACCGTAACGAGGCAATTTGTCTTAAAGAAAGAGATAACGTCTCGCCTTGGATTATTCTCTATTTCTATTCCTTCTTAATCCTTTTTTGCGTAATCTTTATACCGAAACTCCGTCCAAATTTTCATTCATATGAATTGTGTTTTGATCACGCTCTTGCGGGTTAAAACTGGTCAAACAAATATATCAAAAACCAACCCTTACATAACCCTTTTATAAGTCGTCTCCAATAGATCTTACCAAGTCCAATGTATCATTCTAGCTGCAGACCTGAAATAAATCATTGTGATGCATTAGCTCATAGCACACAAGAATTTGAAATAAGTAGCAAATTGGCACTATTCGTCCTAACCCAACTTATTCCACTTGTACTATCATCACTAGTTCATTGCATGTATTCATTACCACTACTGTTGCACATTCTACCGCTCAAAACTTTTTGACTTAAGCTGCTGCCCAATCATGGGCATTTGTGACACATAAAGAATGCCACAAAACACAAATTGAACGTCAATATTTTAATGCAACTCAACCATATAAAAGTGACAGAATATATGGAAATTGGAGGCAACAAGCTGGAAGCAGCTGCAATTTAGTTACTATGCATAGCTGTCGTTAGTTTGTCATCAAGGTAGTTATGGTAGTTAATCTATGTGTCAATTTTGTATTGGTTATTGTATTAGCTTGTTAGTTAACTGTCTATTTATACCAAAATGTAAAGCTCGCTTCATTGAATAAGATCAATCAAAGTTCATTTCCTTTCTTTTAATATGGTATTAGAGCAATAAGCTGCTTAATCGTCTCTGCAGTTTTTAATTCATTAAAAATTTGGATCTCTATTTCAAGCAGTATCACCATGACAACCATAGATGTTGATCAAAATCAATCAGGCCATTCTTCATCAATGAGCGATTCCGCTATTGATGATGATTTCAGTCTTTACCACTTACATCACTCGAATAATCCAAGCTTGATCCTTGCTCGCAACCATTAACTGGAGACAATTACGCCTCATGGAATCGTTCTGTGATGATTGCATTATCACTGAAGAATAAGCTAGGCATCATTGATGGTTCCATATCACGATCGAAAGGCAATGATGTTTTGCTTAAGTCTTGGATCCGCAACAACAATATTGTGATCTCGTGGATTCTCAATTCCATTTCCAAGGAGATCTAAGGTAGCATCATATATGCTGATTCCGCATATGAGATCAGGTTTGATCTCAAAGCAAAGTACCAACGGAGGAATGGTACTAGCATATTTCAGTTGAGAAGAAAATTGATGAACTTCACTCAAGGACAATCTTCTATAGGAGTGTATTTTACCAAATTGAAGACCATTTGGGAAGAATTGAGCAACCACAGACCTGTTTGCTTTTGTGGAAAGTGTGATTGTGGAGGCATCAAAAAGTCAGTTGATCACTATCACATGGAGTATGTTATGTCGTTTTTTTATGGGATTGAACGATTTATTTGCTTAAGCTACAAGGAGATCCTCCTGTATATAAGGCTTGATCCTAACCAATCAGTTGTTAGTAGCCACACGAACCATGCCATGGTGAATTAGGTATCTAAATCCACTCCAGATCAGACACATGAGTAGGTAAGGGACTTTATGCAAACTTTAAACCCTGGACAATACCAACACTCGATGAATATGCTGAGTACTCACCTTACATCAGCAAAGATTGATGCTAAAGAAGATGCTAAATGTGGCCATACATCAGGTACTAGTTTCTCCATTTCCCTTAACACAATACTCAATTTCCCTAGATATTAGGTGGTCGATTCATGGGCAACAACTTATATGTTTCACCAAATCCACATTCCATACAATGAAAGCAATTCAAAATGTATACATCACATTGCCAAACCATGAACGAATCCTTAAATACTTCAATGGGACTGTAAAAAATGGGTCCTGGTTTGATGCTTGAAGAGTATTGTTTGTACCCCAATTTAAGTTCAATCTATCGTTTTTCAGTTTATTAACCAGGGATTCATCTATGATTGTTAGATTTCTTACTGACTCTTGCATTATTCAGGACATGCCTAGCTTAAGGATGATTGGCAAAGGTAAATGAGTTTCTGATCTTTACGTATTAGATGCTGATCCATCTAATTCAGTTATTAATATTTGAAGTCCTACTCATGAAACATTTGATTCTGTGTGTTCAGCAATAAATAATATAACTTCTCACACTTGCCATCAGATGCGGAACTTATTATCCCCAAGTTTTTCAGCTCGATTGAAACTTAGTTCCACAAAAGATTAAGAAATTCAGGTATGATAATGCACCAGAACTGAAACTTACAGATGTATTTGCTTCAAAAGGAGTCATCAACCAATTCTCTTGTGTTGAGATTGTTGAAAGAAAACATCAACACCTTCTCAATGTGGCTAGAGCCCTATTCTTCCAATCACAAGTGCCTATCCAATTCTAGGTAGAATGTATGCTTACTGCCACATTCCTTATCAATAAAACACCTTCTCCTATCTTGCATAGAAAAACTCATTTTTCCCTTCTTTATAATGCAGCTATGGATTACAAATATCTAAGACTCATTAGATACTTATGCGTTGTTTCTACTTTAACTTCTCATAAATCAAAATTCCATCCAAGAGCTAAACCTCGTGGGTTTGTTGACTATACTTTTGGTGTAAAAGGTTATAGGTTGTATGATATTCTATCAAAATCCTTCTTCATTTTTAGAGATCATGTATTTCATGAACACCTTTTTTCCTTTCATTCCATTCAACACCCTAATGATTCGATTGATCTTTTCCTTAACATTGTTTTGCCCAAACTTGCTCAAGATATTTATTCTCCCTTTAATACAATTCATGATGTACTAAACACCTCTGTCAATAATGTTGATGGTCAATCCCTCAACAATCCTCTACAATCAACTTCCAATTCCTCCTACCACTAATTCCTAGAAAAACTACTAGAATCATCAAGCCACCTTCATACCTCAGAGATTTTCATTGCAATCTGTTGATAAATTCACCTCCATTATAAGACAACATCACATATTACCCCTTGTGCATATATCTGTCCTATAAAGCATTCTCACCTGCTTATTGTGCTTACCTATTGAATGTGTCTCCTAATTTTGAACCTCAATTCTATCATGAGGCTGTAAAATACACACTGAGGGAGGCTATGGGTAATGAGTTGGAGGCAATGGAGTTAAATAACACTGGTCAGTGATCAATTTACCTGGAGGGAAACATTCCATAGGCTGCAAATAGGTTTATAAAACCAAATACAAGTCAGATGGAAGCATTGATAGATATAAAGCTTGCTTTGTAGCAAAGGTGTACACTCAAGAAGAAGGTTTGGACTTCATTGAAAACTTTTCTGCAGCAGCCAAGCTTGTTATGGTCAAAATTCTTCTAGCCATTGCAACCATTAAGCATTGGCATATCCCTCAACTAGATGTGAATAATGCCTTCCTAAATAGAGATCTTTTTGAAGAATTTTTTTATGGATTTGCTTTTGGGATATAGCAAACAAGCTACTGCTAATGCACAGGGGGCGAGCAAATTGGTTTGCAGATTGCATAAGTCCATATATGGTCTCAAACAGGTATCAAGACAGTGGTTTTCAAAGTTCACAAATGCCCTCATTTCACATGGTTATCATCAATCAAAATCTAATTATTCCCTATTTACTAAAGGTTTTGGCAACTCCTTTGTGGCATTATTGGTTTATGTTGATGATATTATCATAACCGGTTCTGATTATGTCGACTCCTTGAAGGCCTTTTTCCATAGCCAGTTTAAACTTGAGGACCTTGGCCAGCTTGAAATTTATTGCTCACATAAAGGAATTTTCCCTTATTGGCATCATTATACACTTCAACTTCTTGAGGATACTGAATTTCAGGATTGCAAGCCAATTATCTTACCGAGGGATCCCAAGTTTCATTTATGTTCAATTGAAGGTGAACTTCTTACTGATAATTCTCTATACAGGAGATTGGTTGGTCGTTTGCTTTACTTAACCATTTCTAGGCCTAACATTACCTTTGCAGTTCATAAGTTAAGAGATTTTGTTTCTCAACCTAGGAAACCTCATCTCAATGTTGTCCACCATCTTTTACAATATCTTAAACCAACTCTAGGGCAAGGTCTTCTTTTTCAATTCAATCCTCTTTCCAATTTCAAGCATTTGCTGATGCTAATTGGGAGGGCTTGCCTCGACACAAGAGAATCAATTATAGGTTTCTGTGTCTTCCTTGGTGATTCTTTGGTGTCGTGGAAAGCAAAGAAACAAAGCACTTTGTCTAGATCTTCTGCTGAGGCGGAATATCGAGCATTGGCCTTATCTGGATTTAGCAATTGCTTCATAACCTTCGAGTTTCATCTCCTGCTCCTGCTTTAATATTTTGTGACAATCCAGCCGCCATACACATTGCTACCAATCCTATATTCCATGAAAGAACAAAGCAAATAGAAATAGATTGCCACTTCATTCGAGACAAGATTACCTATGGCTTTGTCAAGTTATTTCATGTCCGCATTCAATTTCAACTAGCTGATATCTTCACTAAGCCTTTAGCTGCCAATTCTTTGTTCCCATTGATGTCCAAGATGGCCATTTTCAATCCTCATGGTCCATCTTGAGGTGGCATAACGGAATATATGGAAATTGGAGGCAGCAAGCTGGAAGCAACTGCAATTTAGGTACACTGCATAGCTGGAGTTAGTTTGTTGTTAGGGTAGTTATGGTAGTTAATCCACTTGTCAATTTAGTGTTGGTTCTTGTAATTAGCTTGTTAGTTAACCGTCATTTTATACCAAAATGTAAAGCTCGCTTCATTGAATAAGAACAATCAGAATTCATTTCTTTTCTTTCAATTGGAAGCAATATACTACGAGTAACTCGTAGCATGTCCTTGAACTACGTAAACATGTCACATTACTATAATGGGATAAAAATCAGTACCTACAAGCTCAAAAGCTATGGATAGACATGAAAACAATCCCAAAGGCTAAAAGCAAATGTGATTAATGTCAAAACTGGACTAACAACGAAATCTAGCAATTCCTTTGATCAAATTTAGGTTCCATTATCATTACATGTCCTTAGTTCTAGTTCACTCCATCTCTCGCATCTTCTTCCCCCTTGATTAACAATAAGCTCTCCACATAGTAGTGAGCACCAAGCACTGGGAATTTAACTCATCCAACTATCTTGGTTTCCCTGGTTTCCATGTCATATAAGATTAGCTTTCTATGCCTTCTCTATACAAGTTTTCCATTTACACTGTTCATAAAACTATAAAAGTCCAAATCTAGCTCAAATGTGAACTTCTTACTCCAATATTCCTTCCCAACACTACCGTTTTCCATTGTCCATACTTGATATATTTTTCTAGGCTCTGACAAAATACGTGCTATCAGAGCAAAAGTTTCCTTCCAATTTATACAATCAAAATCATTCTGCGGCCCTACAAAAGAATCGGGCACCGGAACCAGCTTTAGCACCTCCCATCCTCATGTCAAATGAAGCAACTAAAGATATCCTGTCACTTTCAAAAACATTCTCTGCAAACCAATAAGCAAATCCCTTCAGGTTCACATCATAGGAATTCATCAGAAGGCCGAAATTATGATCAATTTCAACCTCCTCCAAGAATCAAAATTGGCTGACCACACCTTAGACCACGTTCTTCTCAATTTACCATCTTCATAACTAGAACCAATTGTTAAGACCTTGTAATCATCAGAAATTGAATCCCAACCAAATCCTATAGAAAGACAACTGGGACTTATATGCCTACCAAGTGGGAGCCCCCTGAACATTCCGGTGAAAGGTTCCATATCAAGATATTATCCACTGAGTTCCCCAGAATACAAATCAAGCCATTGATTGAGCCCGCATAAATCAATTTCGGGCCATAAGTGTAGGCCCGATCAAGCCCAATATTGAGATTTTCATTTGGGGAAATGGTGAGGAGATCGAGTAACATATGCTTGTTTCGACGGTGTAGTTCGTGAACAAGAAGGGAATGTCTTGCGTGGTTGGAAATGAAGCAGTTGAGGTACAATGAGACGAAGAAAGAGGGCGAGATTAAGGCGCGCCATCGGGTACATACGCACTTAAATCAGATGAGGGCTTTCACGGGAGTCTCGAGAGGATCACCACTATGACATCTTCCAGCAGGCTATAGTTCTGCATTTTTCGGACCTACACTGAAGGTTTCTTTTTTCCCCATTAAAAATCCAATTACGCCCTTTTTAACTCTCTAATAATTGGCACAAAATGTTCCTATCTTTTATTTTTTAATATTTTTGTCTCTACCTTTCACCTTTTTTGACACGGAACGTCCTTTTCGCTAATTTTGAATAATTTTACCCTCCATTCAAATAAAACAAAAAGAAAGAAAAGAAAATACTAATTGCAATCACAGTCTCCAATTTTTAAAAAATTACAAATTAGTCACAAATATATACAAAATTTTCAACATAGGTGTCAACAACACTTGACGTATAATGCTTCTTTTTCCGAATTTCATTTTTATGTGTTTAGGCTAAGCCTCTTTCATCTCGTTCTCTTCGTCTTTGTCATTTTCCTCTCTCGACTAAGTAGATCTTGGGCCAATTACTAATTGCAATCACAGTCTCCAATTTTTAAAAAATTACAAATTAGTCACAAATATATACAAAATTTTCAACATAGGTGCCAACAACACTTGACGTATAATGCTTCTTTTTCTGAATTTCATTTTCATGTGTTTAGGCTAAGCCTCTTTCATCTCGTTCTCTTCGTCTTTGTCATTTTCCTCTCTCGACTAAGTAGATCTTGGGCCAATTTCATCTCTTTTTCACTTGTATAAAAGGGTTTCTAGAATTTTCTTGGTGTTCTCTTTCTGGGTTTTCTAAATCATAGCTTAGAACAATAGTAGATTTATCTTTCTTCTTGAATTTTTGATCCGCATTGTTCTGCTTTTGGGTATTCTTTTAAGATTTTCAACTGAATTTGGGCTTATTTTTCGATTGCAGTGATAATTTGAGGTTGGGATTTGCATTTGAAACATTAAATTTCGAGTTTAAGGAATTTTATTTTAGAATCTGGGCTCCATTTGATTCACAAGAAGTACACTGCAGCTTCTAAGACCGTCTTTTCCGCATTGAGGTATTAAAATTAAATTAGATAATAATATTAATAATTACAATGATAATATTTCTTCTACTTCTTTTAAAGCTTTCGCATGAATGAACTTTTGCAAAATATTTTTATATAATTTAAGATCCAAAAATTACCGGATGGGCTAATACTGTTCTAGATGTTTATCTTGGCATCTCTGATTTGACA